GAAAGGATTTCCAGTATTTTTTATTAAATATTGTTGAAAGTATTTTCGGTATTCTTTATTAAATATTGTTGAAAGGATTTCCAGTATTTTTTATTAAATATTGTTGAAAGTATTTTCGGTATTCTTTATTAAATATTGTTGAAAGGATTTCCAGTATTTTTTATTAAATATTGTTGAAAGGATTTCCAGTATTTTTTATTAAATATTGTTGAAAGGATTTCCAGTATTTTTCATTAAATATTGTTGAAAGGATTTCCTGTATTTTTTATTAAATATTGTTGAAACTATTTCCAGTATTTCATTAAATATTGTTGAAAGGATTTCCTGTATTTTATTAAATATTGTTGAAACTATTTCCAGTATTTTTTATTAAGTATTGAAAGTATTTCCAGTATTTTTTATTGAGTATTGTTAAAAGTATTTTCGGTATTTTTGTTAAGTATTGTTGAAAGGATTTCAAGTATTCTTTATTAAATATTGTTCATGTTTGTTGTTGTTACAGCTAATGATTCCATACGAATGTCACGACACGCTCCTAACGAAATCAGACTAAATGGATTTTGGAGACTCTAAAATGACAAATTATCACGTTATGATACGAAACGAGCCCACGCCCGTACGAAGAGCACGCGCTTTTTCGTGCGATCGTAACAATGCGGGTTATTTAATGAAAAAACAGAATTTTGCTGCCTTCAGTGTAATAATTAGCGGACTTTATTCTCACTTATTTCTCCGGGTGTCACGATTTTTGGGTGGGTACAACTAGAGGTGATTCGAAAAGGTAAAAATAGAAATATTTGTCTTCCATGATCTCGAGAAGTGATCGGATAATATTGTATCGTTATATTTTTGATTCAAAAAAAAAAAAGTCCAATACGAGAACGTCTTTCGTGTGATAATCTTCATGATTGGATGTTTCGCTCAATTTTCTGGAATACAATTGCTGTCCGTAAAAGATGACGGGTGTATATAACAAGTAACCTTTACGGAGCTAAAACTTTAAATTTTAATTAAAAAAAAAAGGCCCATTATAGAAACGATAACATAAAATAAAACTGTCTGAAAAGAATCCCCAGATTAACCCGGTATTATGGATTAGGGTAATTTGAGATAAGATAAAATTTACCGATATCTTAGTAAAAAATATATTGAATGACCATAATATTAAATGACCATACTCGGTCAAGTTAAAAACATCGTAAAAATGCAGGAATTCATGAAACGTGTTAGAGAAGAATTTACGAGAATATTCTTTACTTTATATACCAAACTTTTCCTAAAATAACATCAGAAAACAAAAATGTTCAGCTTAATACACGAGTTTCAGAAATTTTTGTATAATTTGTTTGTTTAACTTTATGGATAACTTTTACACCAGTTTTTGTTATATTTTATTTTTGTAAATTCGTTTATTTAATGAAACTAATAACTTCTACAACAGTTTTTATTCACGTCTATGAATAAGTACGTCTTAATGGAAAATGTTATACTAACACGAGCTCTTACTTTAAACATAATAAAGACAATGAAATTGACTTACTAATTTCTGAGCTAAAGGTGTCCTGTCTCGGTGCGGAAGGTGTTCTTCCAAAGCTAGGACTATACAGTTGGCGATGATTGTTAGGAGGACAGCGTACTCGAAAGGAGTGGACTTTGTGTTAAGGAAGGATCGTACTTTACAACAGAGTATAAGGAAGGATCGTACTTTACAACAGAGTAAATTTATGAATGTTATATTTACAAATCAACACACGGCTAATTAAGCCTCAGTATTACTAATATCACGACGACAGTTTTACTATATATGTATATACTCAGCATTTCAGTCTCTAGGCCTGTTCCTAGTGCTCACCCTGTCTGGATTACAAACCCGATGATTTTAAGTTCACGGCTCGCTGCTGAGTGCATTGCACGAAGAGTGTGAAAACCCACTATTAAATAAGACAAGAGCACACCTAATATAGTTAATGGGTGTAGTTGACTAGGTGCTTTCTCTCTGGTCTATCAGACTCAAAACTAGATAGGGCTCAGCCCTTTGCTAGCTTTAAACGAAGTTCTGAGACAAACAAACTATGACTTCAAACCAATACATCCTTTCTCCAAATAAAACACTTGAAATAATTTATGCAATAATATGCTACTTTTATATCTCTTTTTTTTTGTCCTTACATTTTGTACAATTTAACTGCAGAACATTCACCAAAGATAACATTTTCATCTGCTCTTACACATCTGTCTCATATGAGACCAAATACTTCTATGAAAGCACTGGAATTCTAATTAGCTTACCACGTGACAACAATAATGTGAAATCAACCACGTAAACGAAAGTTGTTACCGATCTGAGAATTGTTTGTTTCGGAAGTTCGCGCAAAGCTACACAAGGGTTACCTGCGCTTGCCGTCCCTAATTTTGAGCTGACAGTCTAGAGGAAAGGCAATTAGTCCAAGATAACCATCATCATCTATTACACTTATAAATGCACCCACGGCCCCAAAGTGCAGAGCACGATTTCGCGGCAACTGAATATAAACCATAAGCCTTCGTATTCACAGTCAGGCATGTTAACAACTAGGCCACGCCCGGCATAATGAACTAAGGACTATAATTAGAATCAAATACCTTAGCAATGACCTAAAACGAGTCACGTGAAAGGAAGATATTACTGAACTACGGACTACGTAAACAGTGTCACCGCAATCGTTGTTAAAAGATCTGAACAATTAATTCTGAAACACAGTGTCACCGCAATCCTTGTTAAAAGATCTGTACAATTCACTTTGAAACAATATGGAACTGCTTCTAGTAGTAGCAGTAGAAACGATATCAAATACTATACAACAATATGGAACTGCTTCTAGTAGTAGCAGTAGAAACTATATCAAATACTATAC